ATATATATATATATATATATATATATATTTATATATATATATATATATATATATATATATATATATATATATATATATATATATATATATATATATATATATATATATATATATATATATATATATATATATATATATATATAGCTTTGCATGTATGGCTATGTACTAACCTTAATCACTTCTGGGGAAGAGGACTTTTTACAGTAAAAGGTAGCAATTTTATTTTATCTAATATATGTATTTATAATATCCACAGATTTTTATAGTCAATCAAATGAACTTAAACTATTAAAAATGCAACAAACATTTGTATTGGTTTTTAGTATTGGTTTTGCTTAAGTTGCACACTAGTTTGATCATGTATAAATGTCATTATAACTATATTGTATAAATCTTATCACTAAGGCCTACATCATGCTGACAATCGAAAACTAAACGACATGACATAACAGGCGATTGTCCTCTGAGTGCAGCTTCAGCTCTCATTGCGCGTGCAAAAAAAAAAAAAAAAAAAAGGTCTCCCCGCATCCATCTCAGTCTTTATCATTTCATGAGCGCGTTCCGCGCTGCTTTATTTCCGCATCTTTATATCGCGGTTCAAGTGCAGTGCAGTGAAGTGTCTCAGACAACACGCGCAAGCCGCGGTTGCGTCACAACTTTTATAGCAGGAGAAAACAAATACTATGGAAGTCATTAGATACAGCATTCTTACAAACATCTTCTTTTGTGTTCAACAAAAGGAAGAGAATCAAGCATGTTTAGGCCTATTACAAGCAAGGACGAGTAAGTACAGTAAGTGATAGAAGTGTCAGTTTAGGGCTTTAGGCTGTCATGGCAACCATACAATGCACACTGTGGGATATGCGCACTAGGACACATGTCAGCGTAAGCTCTACGGAAGATTATCAAACTTTAGCGTTAGTGACGAGATTTTATAGTCTAACAAGTGCAAACATTACATTAAACAAGGGATTGGAGATGCGTTTATACTAAGCATTCTAAACTGTCCCCGTGTAGCTTACCTTGTCATTGTTGGGGTTGACAGGCATTGTGCTGATAAACTTTCTAAACTCCGGCGACAAATTCAACTCCAGCAACAGTGGAACAAGTTTCCCGCAGATGTTTATCACGCTGCGGCTGCAGTGACGTGGTTTCCGGGTGCAATTTCCTTTTTCTTTTTCCGTTGCATTTCTTTATATATTTATTTTTACTCAGTAATGCTTATGATTTAAAATGTAGCGAAGTACAATACTTTAGGCAAATCATACTTAAGTAAAAGTAAAAGTACAGATTTTAAACCCTACTCTAAAAAGTACAAATTTTGTACAAAATGTCTAAAATCATTATTAAAATCCTAAGCTAATTGCTCAAAACTGGCCATTGCGAAGGGCCCTTTGTTGGATGCTTCAGGCACCCATGATCCTTTGTACAGAGAAGTGTTTTTCTTTTTGCAGTGTGTATAACAATGAGCATACAAGGTCAATATCAGAAAAGAGTACAGTAATAAAATGAAAGAAAAGATATAGAGTAGTTAGACATGATAAATCCATTTGCAAAACAAATTATAAAAAAAACAAGTTTAAATAATGTACAAGTTCATTTTATTATTTCTTATAAATAAAAACAAAGAGTAATAATAATAATGGTGAAAACAAACAGCAGAAATGTTAAAACAAAAGTGCAGACAAGAAATGAAATGTGTGAAAATATTAGTTGGAATGGAAAAATAATAATAATAATCAAAATCAAGGCTCAGAATTTGTGTTTGGCCTTTTACATAGTTTTAAATGACACTGTGACTCTGCTAATGCGAGGCTCATGTGTATAGTGGAGGAATTAACATTACAATATAATGTCTTTCATTCAAACCATTTACACAAGCATAAACATTTCAGTATAAATACACACTCTGGCATCTGTATGCACACACGCACGCACACACACACACACACACACACACACACACACCCCCACACACACACACACACACACACACACACACACACACACACACACACACACACACACACACACACACACACACACACACACACACACACACACACACACACACACACACACACACACACACACACAATAACAGCTGTTAAAAAAGGGTAAAAAAATATATACATATTTTCAAGCATTGCCTCTGCAATCATGGCCATCTGTATGATGAAGATGATGTTCAGTTTATTCAGGAGTTTGTATCTGCATGTCTGTGACTATTTTGTTTTTTGTTCTTTTTGGTTTTTCTTCCTGATGTGATGGTCTTAGATTTGACAGCAGAATGAACCTTTGGACACTCATCAGGATTGTCTTTCACTAGAAATCACAAGCAGATCTTATATTCTTTTATAAGCTTTCATGTTCTCAGTAATACACAAATTCACTAAAGTAAGAATGTGTCGCATTATTAAAGAAAGCTGAAGACCATAACAGCACAAACAAATGTTTAAACACTTACAGTCTGGTTTTACTCTGTCCATACTGTTCCATCTCACAAGTCTGGCTGTATTTCTCTCCCGAGCCGCTTGTTTTTTATTTATTTCCGGCCTCCAGTGCTGCTGGTGTTCCGATTGTCTGTGGTTTCTGACAGTTATGCAGTTTTCTAGATGAATCATGTCATTACACACTTTTATCTGGTAAATCACACAGATGACATGAACAGGTTAGAGACAACAGTTCAAGACAAGACAGATAAGGAAAAAATTAAT